GAGGAGCGTTGGGAATTGCTAAGTCTGAACTGAGCACGTCTGTTCACTGCAGATAACTGACAAGGTAATTTGCGGTGATTCATAGGTATTTATAATCTCGATTTTACCCACCAGTTTTAACTAAGTCTGAACTGATAAGAGCACGTCTAAGAGAATTTGCGGTGATGAATTTTGATTCCTCTTTGATGTTCCTCCCACAACAGCCATTGGATGGCAATTTTTGACTGATTTTCACGCCATCTATAGCCCCCTTTTGGAATTACCCCGATCGTCTCAGGTTTTAAAAAATTGCGTCTAAAGACTTTGTTACAGCATGATGAAATAGTGGTGCTTTCCTGGAAGGGATCGACTGTGGTTTCGGTTTTCATCAGGTCTCGAAATTTGAGACACGCCTGTGTCAATATTTCCACATCGGAGATACAGTATTCAACGATTTCTTTCTGAAAATCAAAAACGTATCCCTCCGCTTGTCTTTCGCCATGCCATTTTAATAATTTTTCCCGAGCGTCTTCCTTTAAATGGTCGGGATCGTAGAAGTCGAGCGCTGGAATTGGCCCTACATAATTCTGATGAGCCAAAGTGTTGAATAAATGTGGAAAGTATCCTTTCTTTAGCTCTTTCAAATCAAACGCCTTGGGTAGAGCAGCTAGAGGCATAGGAAAATAATTGAGAGAATCCAGAAATTTTACATTTCCTACCTCCATCAATATTAATTTTGTTCCTCTCATAATTACATTCGGGTACAGACTAGTCTTCTCTAAAATGTAACGAAGTAGAAACTGATGATCAAATCCTCCACCATTATGCGCCAGTACAATGACTTTCTTGAATTTTTTACGAAGTGTCAGAATATGATGCATAAATGGAGAAATGACGTCTTGACATCGAAGAATCTGTATTCGAAGGCCACATTTCTTGCATATAGGATTATCGGTACATGATTCACAACATTGTTTGAATACACATAGATTTGGCTCATGCAGTAAAGATCCATTGGGTAATTCCTTCTCCTGACGGGTTTCCAAATCGTAAAATATTAATAAGACATCATTTGATTTAGGAATACTTCTGTCAGGCTGTATATAGCACATATGTTCAATTGGTTGATTTTTATAACATGTTTTACAAAGTATATATCCGCAGATGTGATCATTACCGTTGTGAACTTTAAAACAGTCTACACATCTTTTAATTTTAGAACAGACCGATGGTAAATGAGTGTTAAAACATTCTTGTCCATAAAAGCTTCTATTACATTCTTTGCATTTGATGTGCTTCGTTTTCAGGCAGGCCGGAGATCTTTTACAAGCATAACATTGTTTATCACATCTATGAATTTGTTTAGTATTATACGGAATGTGGCAGTTCTCACAAAAAAAGCTGCAGCAAAAGGCAGCAGTGAGGGATGTTATGACGCTGTAGTGCCCCTCGTGATATATTAGGTTAAGCGTCGGACCAGCGGACACGCCTTCAAAAATGACGTCACGACCTTTGCACCCAAACTTGTATACAACAATTTTGTAGTTTTGCAGATATCGTTGTAGCTTTTGAAGTTCAGGTATTCCACACCCCTCCTCAGGGATAACAATATCAGCCTTTTCCACAAGTTGTACAGCTCTTTGTCCTTGTATTTTTCCTCGATCACGGCGGATTCTGCTATAATCTTTGTCTTTGTTCAAATGGGCCATGGCGATGACAAGGGCTCGTGGGAGACACAAATTATCGGTGTTTTTAACGGTGATAATGCCTTTTCTTTTGGCGCATTCCTCATCAAAGGTATTGAAATTCTGAGCTCTACCACGACCAGCAGGCAACCTTACGGACGTAATACCCAAGCAAAAAGTCTCGGTATTCAACCCCACAGAATTTGACTGATAGATGGAAGATATCTTCTCCCATATGTCCTCAGTTGAAACGTCGGAAAACAATTTAAAAGCTATCCATCCTTGACCGCGGGTAAAGTCTTTGGAACAGAAAGTGAATCCAACTTGATCACTGGGCTGGAGATGTTCAGTTCCTTTGGCTACTATTTCCTCCAGAGCGTCTTTGATCCATCCCACAGGTTCGACGTCTTTAGGGATAGGTCGTATTTTAAATTCCACTTCTCGCCCATATAGATTAAATTGTTTAATCTTCTTAGTAGAATCCTTAACGATGAAGAATTTTTCCATTTTTTAAAAACTAAAACGTTAACTAGCGACTAAATCTGAACTGAGCACGTCTGTTCGCTGCAGATAACTGACAAGATAATTTGCGGTGATTCATAGGTATTTATAATCTCGATTTTACCCCCACCACTTTTTAACTGACCACAGTGTTTCAAGGTCACCGCTGTTATCGTTGGTCAGTATTAACTCGTTGACAGCCTGCGCTTCCTGCCCATTCAGCCATGCTTAACAGCCCCGCCCGGTACTTCTTGCATATCACCGCTACGACAACACCTGCCCTGAACCTAACCTCATTTGCGACGTAGGTGATTGCCTTGTTGAATTTATTAGATACACAATATAGACTGTACTATGTTTTCAATATTGTATCAATGTTAAAAATTAACTAACATTAACTGTATGCACCACATATATGAGCAATTCCATTTTTATATGCACACTGAATATGACGTGTTGATTATTGAGATCATCCTATACGCATTGTTTCCCGCGAATTTTATACGTTTTTCCATTTAAACTGAATCAGCAGAATTGCATCTATAAATATCATTATTCATGGGCTTTTATCGATCTATATGCAAATATTTACCGCAAAACATGAAATGAGTCACATCGCTTACGCATAGACGTTATACTACACCTTACTATCGTCGGCTGTCTGAATCACTTCCGGTCGGGTGCGCCATCTAACGGGGCCCGCCAATCAACATATACCATCAACCCGTTCAAACTTCCCGCCGTCTGATCCACCAATCAGAGCACGCGGTGGATCTAGCGGTTCCCGCCAATCAACATATACCATCAACCCCGTTCAAATTTCCCGCCGTTTGATCCGCCAATCAGAGCACGCGGTGGATGTGGTGGGCGTGGCCAAAAAGTGGAAGTGGTGGGGGGCGCCCAGAGTGCACCAGTATCTACTACGGACAAAACACTTTTTCCAAGAGGTATACAAAAAGCCACGAGTAATTATGGTTTTCCTCACATCAGGATCAACCTCTACTATATAACTCAATGAATATTTTAACTTTAGAACAGATATCACCTTTATATCACAATCAGCCAAGTAATCATTATTTTGGACTATTGATTCGAGGAAAGTGTTTCTATCATCTAGTGATTTATCAACATCAGTAATCAAGAGACGGGGTTTAAAGGGTTTGGGAGCTGTTACTTTATACTTACTGTTAAACTTATTCTGAACTACACCCTTAAGTTTTTCTAAAGATTCTTCGTTAGAGCAACTAATCAACATTCCATTTTTTATAAGCTTAACACCATTGATACTTATTTTCTCGGCAGCGGGGTTAACATTCGCTTTAACAGTATTTAAAACCTCGGAGTTTGATTCTTTTTGATCATTTGACGTAATAATTAAAACAGACTTGGAATGATTGCTTACAGTTTTTGACACAACCTGACTATAAGGTACGGGAAGTTCAGTATTCTGCTGTATTTGTACATCGGGAAACCTGCTGGATGTAATTTGTTTAATTTTATTGAGCAAAATTTTGTTAGTAGATTTTAACTCATTCACAAGATCAGTTAGTAGCCGAACATCACTCTTCACTTTAGCAAGCTCCTTAATTACATCTCCATCGCTATTCGATATCACGGTTGTGGTTGATGTATGACTATCTTCATCGCAGTTCTTGCACAGCCAGTCGGATTTTTCTAGTTTTATAACTTTGGCAATCGATAGGAAGCATTTCTGATGTAGGGTAACTTCACAATTTAGATTACAACATTTTATCTTTGCACTGCCTTTACGGATATCCTCTTCACAAGCCTCGCATCGCATGTCTATGTCTGGTTGCTTATTTTTACCAGACATACTGCTACCTCAACCATTGGAACTGAGCGCACGCCGCTGAGTCGAAAAACAACTAGACAGCGTGGAGTGGTTTTTGCTTGGATATTTTACTCAGAAATTCACTATTAAAAGAACATCACACTGCACACGGCAATCAAATCGACTTTAAGAGTACATACCACAAATCACATAGACTAGGTGCACTACAAAATTCAAGAAAATACTCGCACTTTTTCCACTTAAACAATGCGTTTATCAGTAGCTGAGAAGTAAACAGTAATATCACCCTCAGTGGCGTGAATCAGGAATACCTACCTAAGTTAGTATTGTTCAATGTAACATGTACCTGTAATTGATGATATGATAAAGCATATCTTTTGTAAAATGTCAGAACAGTTTGGAAATTAAAGGTATTTTCGAATTTACTCTAGGTCGTTTTTATTTTTTGTACCTTTAGTCCGAAACAAACCTTCACAAATATCCACATTGTCCACAAATTTCAAACTAATTACACAATAACACTACCACTTTTTCTCTACTACATGGCGGCATAATTAGAATTTCGATTATTTCAAGATGAGGGGCAATTGCATTCCCTCTGTGAAATGTTGGGAAATCTTGAAACTGGAGATACTACAGACCAAAATATGTGAATTGACCTAAACATACCTTAGTCCAAAAGTTGATAGTTTGCGAGATACAGGGTGTCAAAGTTACAATTTTATTTTCTATTTTTCCTTATTGCTTGAGAGGTATTTCAGATTTTGGCATTAAACTCGGTATAGGGAGGTTTTCTGAGAAACAAGAGTCCGTTATTTTTATGGCCAAAACTTCTACACTATTCGGTAAATAACTTATCATAACTTTGTTTGCACTACGCTTTCTCGATATTTGCTTTTAAAGGTTCCAATGCATTACGAGTATTTGTACCATAATGATAAAACATTTTTATAGCATAATAATCAAGTGGCTTTGGATAATATCTGAGTAGCGTTGCTATGGTTTCTAATGTTTGTCATAATATTGCTTTAAACTTCATGAATAATTCTAAGTTGACAATAAGTTGCTAAACATCATGGAGTAAATGTTTGATGAATATTCTGATATGCATTTAATGTACGGATTGGCAAGATGTAATGCTTCAAAAGCATGAAGATTTTACACTGACAGATTCCCTAATAGACACCTGCCTCATTCAAAGACTTTCCAACGAATCGATCAGTGGTTACGAGAAACTGGTAAGAAATGATTATAGCCTTATTTTGAGTAGTAAAAACTATTTGTATTTTAGGTAGTTTTGATCAAAATATGGGCCGATGTTTCAGTAGTTTTCTATACCCATATGAAATAGAAAGAAAAATACCAAGCATAGTTAATTAGATGTGATGTGGTACAAAATTTTTTTGTAACGATCCCCTTCTTCAGTTTTGAGCTTGGCATGCCCTTGTCGTGTAACAAGCGTATTTAGGATATTTGCAATATCCCAGTAATCTGACGTAGTTTGAGAGCTCTGAAACCTATTCAAAGTCTAGTAAAGTGGCTTTAAAATAGAACGACTTACATGATTGTAAAGTATTTTTTTCCATCACATATCTCAGAATCTATTAACATCCAAATAAAAATTTCAGAAATGTTTTGGTTTGAATTTTCATTTTTACTTCAAGTTGTAATTATTATTTACGTTTATAAACAACGGATGTACAAGCTTATCAAACTGAACCATTTCAATTTAAACAAAAACATTTAATTTTTGCAGAATACTTTATTCCTTATTTTTTTCTATTCGCCAGAAATACTACCATGTAAATTACATGTGCAATATGTGTATATAAAAATATATAATTTAGTAAAAGAAAATCAACCATATTATATTAACAATGTATAAAACTTCGTGCATAGATAGATCACAATAACTCCCTTTTCAGAAAACTGGCCAGCAAGCAAAAAATACTTTTTTGGAGACCATGTACGTTATGTACATCAAAATATGTTTGAATACAAGATTTTCACAGAGCTCATCAGTTTAGTAATGCTCGTTCGTAACAGTTAACAAGATGTAAGAATAAAATAATTGCAGTGGTAGAGACATTTATTGACATCTGAATTCAGGTAACAATATTTTTTAAATTCTTTCTTAACGGTTAATTTGTATTGAAATAAGGTAACGCAAAGCGCCAACTATCACATCAGAATCGACCACTGCGGTAAGCGATGCTTTCGTTCGTGCAGAAATAAGAGACCAAGCTTAGACCATGCTGATGAGAAGCCAAGAAGCTCAGAACGCGGTCCATGATTGGCTGTCTGTTTGGTCGAACGAACGAAAGAATCATAATTGGTTTGAATTTGTATTATTGGGAATGTAAAACAAACGCCCAGTTTAAAATCCTGATTTTTGATATGTGAAATGGGAAGACTAAAACTTAACCAACAGTTAGTTTAAAAAACAAAATCATTATATTGTCAGGAAGACTGTACACTCGTATATTTTAACAGTATTTTGTCAGAAAATGGACTTAATATTTGACAATCAATATATAGGTATTACAGAACATTTTTAACGGTTATATTTATGCTGATTTTTCAATTAAGACTGAAAATTATAACATTTTTTGTAAAAAATTGTAACATTGCGACTACAATATCGAATTGGAAATGAAACCCATATTGTACGTAGTGTTACTTGTTTGTTTGCAACACCTTGTCTTTTAATTTATCCTCTTCATTTTCTATTACACCATGTGCACATACTCCATATCTTTGGAACTACGAAACAATCAAACAATAAATTGTTAGTACCCAATTTTTCTACGTTTGTCACGATTGACGTGTTGGTAATTAATATCCAGAACTAAATTGAGATGAAACAGGAATTATTTATGGGTTCTTTCCTTAATTGCATGCCACTTGTTTTTTTCCAAAAAAGGTTGAACTTTATATGGCCGATATGTTTTCGACTGTTAGCTTGGCATGTAGAAAAGTGGATTTGGTACAAAAATTTTATATGATTTCAATGCCATCTCGATTTTGTAGTTCGGTGAAGTCATAAAAACGGTTACTTCTCTAAACCCAGGCCACACGCATTTGATGATTTATCCGCGAAAACAACATGATGGCTCCAAAACTAATACTCAAGGCTTAGAGGAATGCTGCTGGACAGCGAATTTCCACCATACGCTTTGAAATCACCTTGCTGTTCTTGAAAATGCGTGATGAATAATCAAACATTGTAAACACTATTGGAATACAGATTCCTTCATTTGCAAAAAAATATTTGTCAAAAATATACTTTGGCGTTTTAAGCAATGCTTTAATTACGGATTACTTTTAATTACAAATATATTCAAACAACTGAAATATTAATAGGTAGAGCTTCATCTGGTAGTGTAATAATATCCGCCACATATCTTGCAATCCTTTTTGTTTGCTCTCCAATCAGCTGAATGCGCCTGTCTTTCTGCTGTTTGTTCCATGCTTTGTTGGAATTCGCATATCTTCTCAGCAAACCAGGTGTAGAAATATTTTAATAGTTCCTTGAATAAAGCTTCGGTCGGACACAAGCACACTGCGACGCTTTTCTCAAAAAAACATAGCCATCTATAAAATAACATATAGAATGTGTTGAAAAAAGACACCACCAAAAATATGATACCTGGTACAAAAAATGGCGTGAAGTAGATTGTCTCTGCACTTCCCACGCAACGCTGTCATCATTTCATAAAATATTATGTTCGTCTTAGAAAGAAGTGAATTAATATGTATAACAGAGAAATATAATTGATCAAGTCAAACGATTATATATGCTGAACATGTTAGACTTTCTGAGAAAAAAGTTAGTTACGCCCATGTTCCGGTAATTCTACGCAGCTATCAGACATATTTCGATAAATTTTATACTATGAATAGAATAGAGTTGCTTTCGCTCCTTGTCCACCGAGAACAAGCCTACATCATACTAAGGGAATACCAAATAGCATGAAACAGGTCTCCATGGTTGGCCGTCTGTGACGAAAAATATCTTTAGCCGACGGATCGTGTACCTATCGGTCGCATCTACCGTTCACACATTACTTCCCACTACATTTGCTCTTAAAACAGAATTGTTTCCAACATTGTTCCTCTCGTCCTGATCGTCTTGCCGGTGTTCCACTGCGGTCCGCAGTCCGCATCACGCCGCATCCTTGGCAGCGTTGTCGCTGACTGTTTATGGAATAATCATGAAATCTAGAGAGAGGAAGTTAAACTCGTAGAGTGGGGGTGAAACCACAAATATCCATGATGAAATGAGTCGGTGTACTGCGCAGCTAATGAATTTATCTCTAGTCTTCGAGAGAACCTAGTGAGAATTACCAAGATTTTAGGATTAATAATTAATGTGAACAATAATAAGGCGATAAACAGTCATGAAATGAAAAAAAAAACAATGGTAAATAAATAATTCAGATCTTATTTGTCATTAAAAACACAGTCAAGCGGACAAGCTGTACGGGTATTACGTATCTTAAAAAGTGAGTTATATCGATTTTTTTTTTGACGTCATACTGTTTTTTTGACATTATGTAGGTTTTTCTACTAGATGTTAATTTAGCACTTAGTTGTACGTGTTGCCATGAGGCTTCAGTTATCAATGTTTGGCTCTGATGTGATGTAAAATCTGCTTCAGAGATGGCATTACTGGAGGTCTACGCTGTAAGTTGTATGTGTTGATGATAATTCCATTGGATTCTTGTCTCAAATACACTTACTTGAGATTCAAAGCTAGAAATTAGTTGCGCATCCAGTTTTTCTTATCCATTCTGGAAATGACGTATGCAAATTTGCTGAATTTCAAAAATGAGAGAGATACGAAATAATTATATTCACTTTACACTGACGAATTGCAAGCCATATACATGCTAACAGTAATTACACACAACGCGGGTGCGGCGGTGATTTCCCGTAATTCTCCTAAAAGTTTTTCGTAATTTGAACATAACCTCTCTTCAGAAAACACAACATAAATAACTCGTAAGGCACAGCAAATAGATTTACTTCATGGGCAGCATATGCAATAATGATCTTCTCACACAGCAAATATCACTGATTTTATACACATGCAGACCAATACACATAATCATCCAGATGCGATCTTGTTATTCAACCAACTTTCTTCTCAGAGATGACAACTACAGACCACTCGGCTTTACAAAACATATGCAACCAACAATGCGTGTAGTTTAGTAGAGTCATTCCTCCATAGATGGACGCTCACAGCGATCCTCGTGAGCAAACGTGGAATGACTGTTTGCACCCTAAAAACTACTTAGTCTGCAAGATGACATTTTATAGGTTTTTTTTACGTTCTATAGGTTTTTTACATAATACCCGTGCCGAACGAACGACAAAGTTTCACATCCGTCATGATCTCGCCTGCGATTAGCGTTTTGACTGTTATGCAACAGAACATAAAATAAAGAACAAAAATGGATCTGTTTTAGAGTCACTTTCAAGGCTCCGGAAGCAAAATGGGTGGGGGGGGGGGGGGGTGTTCTATGACTCATATGGGCGGTTATTAATAAAAAACCACTCATAGGTTAACCCGAGGGGGTACCGGCGATTGGAAATTGAAAAGACCGTTATCTAGGACGCCCATATTCATTGTGATTTATGAAGAAGAAAAACAAAAATAACCTTTGTTCCAGTTATTCTAGTTTTGGATCCGCTAACCGGTTAACCGTACATTATAACTGGGTAAACTAGTTCACCGAATGATAAAAACCAGTTATTCAATTAAGTATGGCAGCGACGTGTTTCCAGCCAATTATTCTGGGTTATGGTTCTTCCTGTGCGTATGTTTTATGGATAAAACAATACATATATTTCAAACCATTTATTCTAGATAAAACAATATAAAATTAATTTGCAATGAGCGTGTAGTGCAATTTCGGTTATTGACGAACATAGATCCAACGCATTCGAGTCAGCGAAACAAAGATCTCTCCATGCAAAGGAGGAGTAACACTTAACCGCTAGAATTTAGTTCGTTGCGAATGTTTTTTCTATAATTTGCGATCTAAGTATATTCAGGGTGTGGTATTTTGATCACTTACTAGTAATTTGAATTTCTCTTTATTAATGGTAGAGTGTCGATTTCTAGGACATGACTTTCTTTTGGCAAATTTCATAGTTTATTGATTGTATAATTTCACACGTATTGTGTTGAAATCTTTTGGACACTAATGTTATAGTATTATTAACGACTATCTCAGAAATTTCCTAATAAAAAGAAAATATAAATGGCGCGTCTGCACACTAAGTTTTTAAAACAAGGTATCTTGATAGGACCAAATATCTCCATAAAGCTAGTTCGTGAAGAAATCACAAAATGGCGCTGGTTGCCAATGGGCGAAACCAACTCTACGAGGGACCAACGATATTTCATGGAGAAATTTCTGAGATAGTCGTTAGAAATACTATAACATTAGTGTCCAAAAGATGTCAATACAATACTGAATCGCTGAAAAAGAAAGATATGATATGAAATTAAACAATCAATAAACTATAAAATTTGCTAAAAGAAAAATCATTAAAAAGGGTTTGTCCTAGAAATCGGCACTCTAACATTAATAAAGAGAAATTCAAATTACTAGTAAGTGATCAAAATAGTAAAAAAAGGTTACGTGATTTTGGCACGTGACACTTTTTTCTTTGTTGATATGTTTGAGCTTGTTAATTTTTATTGAAGTATTCAATACAATAATTTTTATATGATCGATTTAATAAAGAATTATCTATTTATCTATCCACCCATTCGTACGTCCGTCCGTCCATCTGTCCGCCCATCCGTTCATCTATCCATATATTAACTTGATTTCATGAAATTTTCGTCACCTTGGAATATTTTAAACGTTTACATTTAGTTTCTATTTGATTTACACATTAAACTGCAACAGTATTTGCACAACAAACATATTACGTAACGAATAACGGACAGGTTTTACAAAGCTTTTAAGGAATATGCAGACGTTCTTTATATTTCATCCGATTGTCAGACCATACCGAATAAAACAACCACAAGCCTCAAGTAATGCTCACATATTTGGAGTGCTGCCGTCTCGACTACATGATCCATGCTCGCTACAGTTCAGAGGAGGTTTGTCCGATTAGTTGATTACTCTTCTCTAACGGACAGTCTCGAGGCTCTTTCGTACCTACATACCGTCGGCGATCTAGGTCTCTACCTCTATGTCAACAGGCTTGGCTGCCGAAACCTGCCCTAATAGCAGCTGCGGTACCCTGCTAATTAGGATTCTGCCTACGTGGCTGCTTTCGTATAAAAATAACAATGGCATGTAACAATCTTTTTGTAATTTCTCGAATGGCCGCCATGATGCAACCACTTATTATTCCTGTTAGGAAGTCATATATTCACTGAAATCGAAAATGTATGTTAAAATACTAGATGAATGTATACCTTCGGGCTTCCTCCATGTTCACATAGTCAAACCATTTAGAATAGTATTTTTGATCGCCAGTTTGCTTCCATTTTTTGTACTGCATTTCAAACTCGTCGGTTTGCTTGCTGATAAATCTTGTCACCATATCTATGAGTCCTGCGTATTTGGATTTGTTTGGAAATAGTTCGTCCAATTTCCTCCTTAGCGGCTCTGCAATTTTCATCAGCAACTTCGACACTATGTCAATTATTGCCTGCTTGGTGTCCCCACTAAAAATATTAATGAAAATAAAACTTTAAATCTTACTTCATTATAATGTTGTCCTATTCTATGAACAGGCCAATTCTATTCGGAAATGGGAATATTGTTTCTTGCTAATATCAAAAGAACGTGCTATGAGATAGCACTGCTTGCGATTTTCATACTTAGTATATTTTAGAAAGATATGTCATTTTGAATATATCTTGTAATTGGCGGATGGAATTTTAGTACTCGCTAACTAAAAATTATTATTGTAACTATATATGTTGTTTTGGAAAAATGATAGTGATAGATGGGAACAAAGGTTTTGCATTTATCCAAGAAATCTTTGTGTTGTAAAACATATAAGAGGATAAATTAAAAAAATTGCAGTACTAAGAAAACTTTTTCATGCGGTAAAACATACATTTTGAAATATTATAGAGGTGGGGTTAGTGTAGATTTTTGAATTTTTAGATAAAATGTTTTTGTGAGAATTATTAAACCTTAATTGAACTGTCAACTAACAACTTTTCAGAAAACTGCATATTACTACTACCAGAGAGGTCCCCCGGGTCTTATCTGGGCCACACGGGTATCACGTATCTTGAAAAGTGACATTATGCCGATTTGTTTTTTGACATCATGCTGTTTTTTTTTTGACATTATGTAGGTTTTTCTACAAGATGTTAACTCAGCACTTATTGTACGTGTTGCCTAAACGTCATGAGGGTTGTTATCATTCTTTGGCTCTGATGTGATGTAAAATCAGCTTCCTAGATGGCATTACTGGAGCTCTAAGCTGTAAGTTGTATGTGTTGATGATAATTACATTATTCAAATACACTTAATTGAGATTCAAAGCTAGGGATTAGTTGCGCATCCACTTTTTCTTATCCATTCTGGAAATTACGTATACAAATTTGTTGAATTTCAAAAATGAGAGAGATAAGAAATAATTATAGTCACTGTACACTGTCGAATTACAAGTCTTATACTGCTAACAGTAATTACACACAACGCGGGTGCGGTGATGATTTCCCGTAATTCTCGTCAGTTTTTCGTAATTTATAACTTTGAACATAACCTCTCTTCAGAAAGCACAACATAAAAATAACCCGTCGAGCACAGCCAATAGATATACTTCATTGACAGCATATTCAGTAATGATTTTCTCACTTAGCAAATATCACTGATTTTATACACATGCAGACCAATACACATAACTTTCTTCTAGAGATAAAAACTACAGACATGGATCACTCAGCCTCACAAAAATATGCAACCAATAATGCGTGTAGTTTAGTTGAGTGATTCCTCCAAAGATGGACGTTCACAACGATCCTAGTGAGCAAACGTGGAATGACTATTTGCGCACTAAAAACTACCTAGTGTAAGTTGACATCTTATAGGTTTTTTTTACGTTTTGTAGGCTTTTTACATGATACACGTGCCAGTCAAAAATGAGGTGCCTCTCCAAAAAAATCTTGCATGCGCCCATGATAATTGGTATAATAAATCAAATTCAAGCGGATAACCAAATGGAAATGGTATTTACCATTTTGGCTTGGTATTTACCAATCCGTTCAAGGGAGTGTAGTTATCAGTTTGGTTATAAGATCCGTGACGTCACGAATCAGCTGTTATATGTCATAGTTATCACCGCAAAATTGTGGTATTTACCCAACTGAAGAGTAGTTTTATATTTCTGGTTATTATTTGAAATGTGACAAGTTAGAATTTTGCCGGGTATTGGATATTGTTATTGTACTTCAGCTTCATTTTTGAGAAAATTGATACAGGCTGACTTCAGTTTTACCATAAAGTGGAGCACCTTATTAGTTATACTCATTACGGTTGTTGGGGACACTTTAAATGTAGTTCCTATGCTTAACAAAGTATCCTGTGTAGTCATATACCACAAGAATATTAAAATATGGCCATATAAACTCACTAGATGATATCCACCTGTATACGGTTTTGCTAATTTCTTTTTTCATCATTTCTGCTGAATCAATAAATGTTTTCTTTGACATGCGGAAAAATTTAGAGAATTGAAAGTTATCATAGCTACAAAGCCATGGTTCCATCATTAAAAAACATTTCTCCCATGAATATTATGAAAGGTTTCTTATTTAAACTTTCCATATACAGTTGTAGACGAAAAAGCACCGATTATTAAGTGATAATAAAAATAATCAGAGATTATATACGCGCTTTTCTAAAATAAACAACTTGCAACAAAACCGCGGTTAAAACCAACACGTTCAAGCGATTCGTGTAGCTGACGTCATCAACCCGTGTGTCATCTTGAACCATATTATAACCGCGGCACATAACACAGAAATTTTGGTTATTCGCTTGGATTTGATTATAGTTGTGAAATCGGTGGTGACGCCAAAGGGATTGACAGTCACTGTTGCATATGACGTCTGTCCTACTGATATACAAATAGTATGAAACTTATTATAACTGATTATAATCGCGCCTCTCTAAATGTCATCTCAATGGTCACATGAAACACAAAAACTGAGTTCATCAACAGGAATCTGGAATCTATGGTAGTCAACCTGTAAGTTGATTTGAGATTGAAAGATGAAATGTGTGAGGCCGTTGTGGCCATTATCCAAACGATTTATTCTTCTTGTTATGTTCTGCCGGCGTCGGGGATTATTAATTGGTGACGTTTCGCCATCACCAGTGGATGCTATCTTCAGAAGCGGATCGAAGTTTTTCTCGGAAGATGCTGAAGATGCCATCCACTGGTGATGGCGAATCTTCAAGAATTAACAATAATCGACGCAGGCCGAACAGCCTAAGAACAACAGACTTGTAGCGACATGGCCTATGTTTTGATAGGGGAAGCAAAGAGAAATTCTTCGAATGAGTTCCGTTACGCACAGTCAAAACAGTCCGCACACTTGAGCGACCAAAAGGGAAGAGATGTGTCACGTTTGAGACATGCAAATGACAAATGCCGCGGTTTCCGTCGCGTCGCTTCTCCTCAATCTGCACGCATATTTATTGGTTAACTCAATTCACGCGTAATGATCTTAGGCGCTTATTTTGTACATATCATGAGACTACTTGACTTACCTCAGAACACACGTGATTTTAACAACTAGGTTAATAACATCGATATCCTGCGGGAAGCCGTGAGAGACGAATGACTTCTTGACTGTTTCAACGGCCTGTGTAGGTGTTTGCGCATCGCCGTTTTGAGATAATTTCACAAGAAACGAGGCTCTATTGTCTTTGCTCATCGCCGCGAATTCTGACATGTTTACTTCTACACCGTTCAAAGTGATTCGTCCATCGCTTGCGGAAAACTTGATGTTCTGTTCATTCATTTGCTTGTTCGCTCGTGTAAGGACGGCGAACACTTCATCCTTGTTCGGGATCTTCCGTATGGTCGAAATCACTTCCGCTTGACCTGCGATCTGGTTACCATCCTTGGTTCGAATCGTCTCCTTTACCAACTTATTGAACGTCTTCCTATGCCTGTTGCTCCTCAAGGAGTCTTGGAAGTCCCTGAGAGTTTGCTGTTGCGTCTCGTCGATCAAACTCCTACAGTTTTTGAAGCTGAATACGGCGTTGCCGAAGAAGAGTATGGAAGTACCCAGTTGGAGTATGGTCAACGCGGACGGTGTTTGGTCATGGTTTATGTACTGATCGACGATGTCGTAGCCGGAGTTGACCAGACTGACGCCGCTCGCGCCTATGTTGGCGATCTGGATGCCGTTCACTGTCCAAATGCCAGCCTGAAATAACAGTATTATGTTAAGACAACAATATTTTGACATATGTAACAATTTGATTGATAATGATCCCTCTTACAAAGTTATCAATAAAGACCCTACATCTAAAGTAGAGAAAGGTTGCAATGACATTGTTAACAAGCTACTCAACACTGGTCAAATTAACCAAGACCAAAAGAAGTCTTTAATCACTTATAATTCTGTCTCTCCCAAATTTTATGCTCTTCCCAAAATACACAAACCGGTACTTTCAGTAAGACCGATTGTGGCTTCTGTTGAATCAGCCACACTAGCCTTATCTTCATTGATTGCAGCTCACACCAAAGGAGAATACTTTATAAAAGACTCTTTTGATGTTTGTCAACAATTTAATAGGTTTCAAATACCCCCTGATCATGTTATTGCGAGTCTAGATGTAGTTTCACTGTTCAGCAATGTGTATTTAGAAGCCTGCATCAGATCCATCAACAAAAATTGGGATCTAATTTGCCAACACAGCAACCTAACTCTGGATTCTTTCATCAACATTGTAGAGTACCTTTTCCAGAACAACTATTTTACCTTTAATAACAAAGTGTTTTCACAAACACATGGCTGCCCCATGGGCTCTGTTTTATCTCTAATTTTGGCAGAATATGTAATGGATGACCTGCTTGATGTTATTATTCAAGTATTGCTATATGATCTAATGTTCATAAAAAAGTATGTGGACGATATAATCGTTTGTCTTCCTTTTAATAGGGTGGATGATATTGTTGAGGTTTTTAACAGTTATGATCCCTGCATCCAGTTCACCATCGAAAAAGAAGATGACAATCAATCTGTTCCCTTTTTTTTACAAATGACAATATATTACTGGTAGACTGGCACAGGAAACCAATTTCTTCCGGAATTTTCCTGAACTTCAGGTCTTACAATGAACTTAAAATAAAAATAAACTTGGTGAAACAAATGAAGAACAGGGTTATAAAAATCTCTGACAGTACTTTCCATCTTTAAAATTTAAGGAAGCTTTCAGTCTTATTTGTCAATAATGGCTATCCTAAGTATTTGGTTAACAGAATCTTGTTCAGCTCTCCTCCAAATATTTTGCCAATGACTAATAACAATAGTGAAAATGATAACACTGGTCAGTCCATCCAGACACCCATTACTTCTCCTACTAATGAAAACAACAGCACTACAGTGGTTAATCCTATTCCCAGAGTTAATTATGTTGTCTTGCCATACATCAAAGAACTAACACCAAAATTGATCAGGCTGTATAATTCCTTTAATTGTCGTTTCGCTTGTAAATCAGTGCTCACAGTCAACAGTTTGTTGTCCAAAATGAAGGATAAGGTTCAGTTACTTGATTCAACCAATACTGTCTATCGTATTAATTGCAACAACTGTAATTTAGTGTATATAGGCCAAATTTCTAGGTCGCTTAAAGGCAGGATAACTTCACACAAAAGTGACGCCAGATTACATCCAGAGAGATGTGCATTGGCATCGCATACTAACAACACAGGTCACTCCATGAATTATGGCAGTGTTGAGGTTCTTGATAAAGAAAAAAGACTCTCAAAACGTTTATTTTTAGAAATGTCCTACATTTTCATGACAGATCATTGCATGAATAAAAAGGCTGATGTCAAGTAGCTCAGTGTCATTTATTCCTACCTGTTGAATTGCGAAAAGCTAGAACGTCTACATATCCAAATTGAACCAACATCTTCACAAAATTAGAATATTTTTTCTCACTCACATTTTTAATATAAACTCACAAAACCCATCTTTTCAAGGTTGTATCAATATCACACATTCTTACACTCATATGAGCTACACAAAAAAATTCCAAGACAAGTTAATTCAGCATTTTAGTAATTTTGGGTGGAGGTTTACCGAGCGTCCCTCGTATACTTCATACCCAAAACTGGACAGAGAGGTCTACATTTCCACGGTCCGTCGCGTTAATCACTTGTCATCTGTCGACGCTTTATCTTTCCGTGCCGTCCCCCTCTCCACGTGTTGCGAGTACAGAAGGTTAGAATCTGCATTCCGATTGTTTCAACAAAATGTCGACTCACCTGCAATATTTTTAACTTGTTCGGGTGGATTGATATTTTTCACATTTAACGATCTTCTCTACGTTCGTTCTGAAACACCTTGTGGCTGCAACCCCACCGACGAGTAAGTTGTCTGACAATTTAAATCTGTCATGTTTTCTTTGCTAGCATCACAATTGTGTTTTCAGAATCCTGATGAAGGCTCCATAGAGAATGCCGAAAGCTTGATTTTATCGTCAAGAGTCAACTTAAGCCTAAGAGTTTTGCCTATATATATATATATATATATATACAGGGTGACTTTGAAGTTGAGTCATTAATTTTCAGATAATGATTGTAGAAGGAAGATAAACCAAAATATGTGTGTAAAAATAAAAAAAAAATTAAAAAAAATTTGTTACCTTGTTTTATAAAGTATCCTCCCGACAAGTATTTCAGTGCGGACCTGTATTTGATCGTGAGGTCCCCTGTGAGGTCTTAAGTCACCTGATTCACGAGCCCGTTGTACTACATTAACAAAGGCACGAGGGGTTGGTCGCACTCGATTGGGAAACCGAAACGCATAAACATGTGCCATTTTTTATTTCGTTTGAGCCACGCAACAGACACTATTCACACGCGACTGACACTAACTGTATGTATAACTGAACTGAATAAAATAAACATCGTTCCAAATTCTTTCGCTTTTTTGTTTCCGATGCGATGAACCGATAAGGTGGATTATATCCGTTGTTGCCAAACACGAGTACATGATATTACTGAGACAGGGCGGTACTCAAACTTCCAAAGGGCTATAACTTTGTTACTTTAATTTTACCAGAAAAATGGTAAAGGAAAAAAACATTTCTTTTGATCAGATCTACTCACTGTTAAAATAAATGACTCAACTTCGAAGTCACCCTGTATATATATATTCCAGTGTTTATTAATAGTTCTTGTACATGCATCCAGATAGATGTTGCTGAATAGCGACACCACATCAAGACTGGCGATAATATGATCGGCTGGTATTGTCAATCTGTTGAACTGACGAGAGACTTCAAATGAGTCTTTGATGTAGTAATCATTATCTGCATGTGCTGATTTTAGTGTTGTCGATATGTTATTCCGACACTACCCTATAACCTCTTCTTCATAAAAAAATACGTAGATGACATTATTTTATGCCTCCCTTCCATAGGTCTGGATGGTATTGTTAGAGAATTCAACAGCTATGACCCCTACATCCAATTTACCATTGAAAAAGAAGATGAGAACCTGTCTGTCCCCTTTCTAGACACAAGACTCATTCGCACCAACAACAACAGTTTATTGGTAGACTGGTACCAGAAACCTATGGCCTCAGGTCGGTTTCTCAATTTTAGGTCATACCATAGGCTAGGGATTAAAATCAATTTGGTAAAACAGATGAAAACAAGGGTAATCAGCATCTCAGATAATACCTTCCACACCTCAAATTTACGTAAACTATCAAAACTGTTCATCAATAATGGTTATCCGAAGTGTCTGATTAACAAGATCATTTTTAGTTCACCTTCCAATATTTTGCCGAACTCTGGTGATGCAGGTAATAGTCGCACAACCCCTAATAACGGAACTGATGTAATTCCCAATAATAACATCAATCCTAACAGTACAAGCACCAACCCGGACTCCAGACCTGGTTTTGCTGTCCTGCTCTACATCAAGGAACTGACCCCTAAGCTGATCAGATTGTGCAGTCCTTTGAACTTTCGAATTGCTTGCAAATCCGTCCTCACTATAAACTGCATTTTTTCAAAAATGAAAGACAAAGTCCCGCTGCTTGGCTTAACCAAAACAGTCTACTCCATCAATTGCAACAACTGCAACCAAATATACATAGGTCAGACCTCCAGATCTCTTAAAGGAAGGATTACATCACACAAAAGTGATGCTAGGCTTCATCCTGAAAGATGCGCTCTAGCATCTCATGTTAACACAACAGGGCATTCTATGAATTACACAAGTATCAAAGTTCTTGATAAAGAAAAACACCTTTCCAAACGTTTATTCCTGGAAATGTCCCACATTTTCATGAATAACAACTGTATCAACAAAAAGACAGATGTTAAACAACTGAGTGTCATTTACTCATATTTGCTAAACTGCGAAAAATTGGAGAACTTACATATCTCCCCAAATTTCAACTCTTCACAACCATAATTAGAATCCGTGTTTTGGCCGATTCCACCAGTAAATTTCATTCCACTCAAAATATAATAATTCTCTCCCTACAATTTATTAATAATTGTTAATTTAAATTCTCATTAATAAAAATATAGTTTATTCAACTGCCTCTGGTCGGTTTAACAAATTCTTACATAAAATTCTGAAAATCTCATCATCTGAAGTGATTTGGCAACGTTTGGCACACGCCCACAATTCGTTCCATCTTTCAACACTGACATTGACATCCTTCGGCCTTCTGTCAAAGGGTTTCATGTCACTCATTATTCCATGACCACTAATTTGTGCAATCATCAAGTGGCTTCACGATGTAATGCTCTAATGTTTTTTAAATAATTTTTAATCTGTTTTTAACTTGTTCTTGTCATATTTTATATAATTTTGACCATTGTACAATCTATCCAGCTCTCACCATGTTACTGGACGTTTCCCTCATCCTATACGTAAACAACAATTAGCAACATCCTCACATACTACTGTAAGTTGAGTCAATTTAAATTCATTTTACACCTTTGTTGCTACTGTTATCATTGTAATTGCAGCTCCTGATGATGATGGCAAAGTCCATTGAAAGCTAGAGAGAATTAAAAAAAGTATAAAGAGTCCTCTTTGCTTAAATTTTGTCGAAGTACCCAACAAAAGGCTTTAATTTTTCACCTAACTGGTCTAGACGACAATGACCACGTCTCAAAATATATATATAACTTGAGACGTGGTCATTGTCGTCTAGACCAGTTAGGTGAA